TGGATAAAAGTTGGCCCGGCTAGGCATGCATGTCAACCATCTAGCCGAGCCAAGTTTTTTGTTTCTCATGCAAACGGTTTTCCACGCTTTATTAAGAATATATATATTAATTTTCATGGCTCTATATATTGCTATAAAACTTAAGATTAAAGAAAAACAAATTGAAATCGAGATTTTTATAGTCTGGAAATACCTATTTTCTATCGCGAATATCCCCAAACTATATCTCTTGGCCAATTTTGCAAAAAATAAAATTAAAAAAACTCAAATTTTTTTAACTATATCATAGGTTAACCCCTTTGGAAAAGTCCAATTTTTTCATTTTTTTTTCTTTTTTCCTTTCAAATCGATATTTTATGTTCTCGAAAAGCCTTATTTTTATTTAGAATGTCTATTTACTATCTAAAACAAAACCAAACTATATTTTCTTGGCCTACTTTCCTCTAAAAACAAAGAATAAAAAACACAAATATTTAGCTAAAATAGAAGGTTAAACCTTTCAGAAAAAAAACTAATTTTGCTACTTTATTTAGTTCAATATTTTTTAGTCTAGAAGTGCCTATTTCCTATCCAGAACACCACCAAACTGTATCTCTTCGCACGTTTCGCTTATAAAAAAGAATGAAAAGCTTAAAATTCTGACCGAAATCATAGGTTAACCCCTTCATAAGTGGTCCGATTTTGAAAGTAATTAAAACCGATATTTTTGTATTCTAGAAACCGCGAAGAGATTACTCCATGATTTTTGTAAAACATTTGCAATTTTTTATTCCTTTTTTTGGCAAAAAACCCTAGAAGTCTTTGTCAAAAGTTGCTATTTTTTCACTTTTCAAAGAAGAACTAGACGAAGAGTGTTGTCGCAAAATGTGCATTTTTCCAAAGAGATAAGTCCTTGTTTTTGGTTGAAAACTTGAAGCTTCTTCATCCCTGCTTTTCGAGCAAAATGTAAAGAAAAGGAGAGCTTGGTTATGTTCTAGACAGCCAAAAAACACATTCTAGACTATAAAAACATTGACGTTAGAAAGTGGTAAAACTTTGCATTTTTCGTAAGGTGTAAGTCCACGATTTTAATCGAAAATTTGAAATTCCTTCTTTCTTAATTTCTGGACAAAATAGAACGAAAAATGGTTTGGTTATCTTCTAGATAGAAAACAATTGTTTCTAGACAATAAAACATCGCGGTTATAAAGATCACCAATCAAATTTGTATATCAACAATTATTTTAGTCAGTGAATTTTGTCAAAAATTTCAACTTTTTAATTCCTCGATCCTTTTTAAGCAAAGAAGACATAGAAAAAAAGGTTCGTGATGTTCTAGAAAAAGAAACAAAATTTCTAGACTATAAAAAATTCAATTTAAAAAAAAGTTGCAGAATTTTAATTTCTCTAAAAACGATAGTCCATGATTTTGGTCAAAAATAGTTTGATTTCATTCTAGAGAAAAAAAAAACATTTTATACACTACAAAAACATCAATTTTAGAAAGTTGCAAGAAAGTCCATGATTTTAATGAAAAATTTTTAATTCTTCGGTTTTACGTTTTGGGAGAATTGGAGGAGAAAAATTTATTCGTGATGTACTTAATACAAAACAACATTGTTACTCTTGTTCAAGACAGAAAGGAAAAAATAGTGTCGTGATGTTCTATACAGAAAGCAAAACTTAATAGACCATAAAAATATCAATTTTAAAAAGTAAAAAGAATTGCATTTCTCTAAAGGAGTTAGTACATGGTTTTGGTCGAAAATTTTAAATTTCTTTCTTCTTTCTTCTAATTCAAAATAGGAAGAAAAAAGTTTGGTGGTATTTTAGAAAGCAACCTTTAAGAGACCACAAAAATCGCATTTTTAGAAAGTAGAAAATTTGCATTCTTCTGAAGGGGTTAGTCCATGGTTTTGGTCAAAAATTCCAAATTTCTTAATTTTTTCCTTCTTGTTCAAAATAGGAAGAAAAAAATCGTTTTACGATGTTTTAGATAAAAAGCAACCTTTTGTAGATAATGAAAATATTATTTTTTAAAAGTCTAAATATTTGCATTTTTCTTAAGGGGTTAGTCCATGGATGAGGGTCTCAATGGGGTGGTGGCTTTTACGGTTATCGACTAAAATTTTGGCTTTTTTACGGCTATCGGTTAATTTTTTTCAGTTACGGTTAACAAAAAAGTAAAAAATTAACTTCTTTTGTTTCAAAAAGTTAAATATTAATTAACCTGTATTTTTTGTATCTTTAAAGCAAAATAAAGAGGTCTTAGGATCATCTCGGGCTGAAATAAGCTATTCTTTTGAAAAATTTTAACATTTGATGGATCATACTTTTTATAAAGTATTCCACTTCTTATATTATTTTACACATATAAATGTCAATAGTCAATTTAAAAATAATCTTTGTGAAAAAGCAAAGCACACACGCGCACGCCCAACTCAAGGCCTGGGCCCGACATTCATTACAACAGAAATGGCCGTTTTCACATTAGAGACGGGTTATTCGTGTGAGATGGGTTATCCGTTTGATGATTCGCGTCAGATAGGTAATGTCTTAATTTGAAAATGGAATAGTTTTAATTTTGAATGAACAATCCGCCTGACTTTATCCGTCAATTTCGACGGACAGTTTGAAGACGGGATTATCCGTTCCAGATAGCCTGTGTACAGCCGCCCCCTCCCCTCAGAAAAAATCGGAGAAGGGGTGTCTGTCGGGAAGGGGGCGATTGTACACAGGCTAGTCTCAGACGGATAATCCATTTCTAGCTCTAGTGTGAAAACGGCCGATAACAAAATTCCCGTGTCCAGTGTTTTTAATGATAGCGAAGGAATGTACGGAACGACTGTCAGCCGTTGCATTGTCCGTAGTCCTCATCATCGCGCGGCTAATACGTTTCGGGTCACGTGGTCCGTGCGAGTTCGCCACAGAAACTCCTTGACAGAGATTGCGTGGGAGGACGCCGTACGGGGACTAGGCATGGCAACGTCTACCGTAGCGTCAGAGAAAAACAGGGAAATGTTGTTTATCGGCATCGTGTTTTACAAACAGTGACATCTCTGCGTGTTATTTCACTATTTTTTCGAGGGCATGACCTCCTGAAAATCGCAAATATTAATCCCCAGCAAGAAGCCACACTCTCGCTCTGGAAAAAAATTAGTTCCCCGAGACAGCGGCGGAAATGGAGCCTAGCCAACACCTAAAAGGCGCGTTACCGAACGTGCGTACGGAGTGACTTTAGCCGGGAAATAAAAAACGCAGCCATAAGTGAGTTTAGTACCTTCATTAAAAGTAGCAAAACTAGGGAACAATTTCTTTTACGGTTGGTCCTTTTTTACCCTATTTACGGCTAACGGTTAAAATGTTTCAATTTTTACGGCTATCGACTAAATTTTTGGCCGTTTTACGCCTATCGGTTAACCCCATTGAGACCCTCATGGTTTTGATCAACAATTCGAAAATTCTCTGTTTTCTTTTTGTTCAAAATAGGAAAAGAAAAAGACTTTTGGTAATGTTTTAAAAAAAAAAAAAAAAACATCGTTTGTAGACCATAACAAACCATATACATTAGAAAGTAAAAAACTTTGCATTCTTCTAAAGGGATAAGTCCATGGTTTTGGTCAGAAATTCCAAATTTCTTAACTTTTTTCCTTCTTGTTCAAAATAGGAAGAGAAAATCCGTTTTGTGGTGTTTTAGATACAAAGCAACCTTTTATAGATCACAAAAAAATTAGTTTTAGAAAGTCTAAATATTTGCACTTTTTTAAATAGTTAGTCCATGGTTTTGATCAGAAATTCCAAAAATGTTAATTTTTTCTTTTTGTTCAGATTAGAAAGAGAAAAAGACATTAGTAATGTTCTAGATAGAAAACAGCCGTTTCTAGACCATAATAGACCATAAAGTATGAATTTTAGAAAGTCGAAAAATTTGCAGTTTGGTTAAGCGGTTAGTCCATAGGATTGGTCAAAAATTCGAAAATTCTTATTTTTTTCTTTTTGTTCAAAATAGGAAGAGAAAAAGACTTTAATAATGTTTTAGACAGAAAACAACCGTTTGTAGACCATAATAGACCATAAAGTATGAATTTTAGAAAGTCTAAATATTTGCATTTTTGTAAAGGGTTTTTTTCTATGGTTTTGGTCAAAAATTTGAAGTGTCTTAATTTTTTTTCTTTTTGCTCAAAATAGGAAGAGAAAAACAGTTTGCTGACGTTTAGATACAAAACAACCGTTTATAGGCCATAATAGAAAATAAAGTGTCAATTTTAGAAAGTTGAAAAATTTGCATTTTTTTAAAAGTGCAAAGTTTAGTCAACGTTTTTTGTCGAAATTCCAATGTTTTATACTTTTGTTCAAAATAGGAACAGAAAATAGTTTGGTGATGTTTTAGATAAAAAGAAACCCTATATAGACCAGAAAAATGTCATTTTTAGGAAATCAAAAAATTTGCATTCTTCTAGTACTATTTCAAAAACGAGTTCGAGGGTTTCATTAGGTTTCCAAACGCGAGAAAACATTTGAAACCACGAGGCCGCAGGCTAAGTGGTTTTATTGTTTTCGAGCGTTTGGAAACCTGATGGAACCCGAAGTCCGAGTTTTTGAAATGACTTCTCCAAAGAAACAATACAAAATTATGCAGTGTTGTATTTTTCCCATTTTTCTTTAAAATGCCTTGTATGTGTGATTTGTTGTATTCAGTCGGCATTTGTTTTTAATTATCCAATAGTTTCGCGTTGCACCAAATTTGTTTTCCAAAAGCGTTATGAACTTAAAGTGATTTACATATTGTTTTTGCCATGGCCGAAGGAAGGTTTCTCTTCCAGAAAACAATCGAGGAAGAAAAACTTTGCGTAGAGAGAGCAGTACCGAAGTCTACCAGATATAAAAATAAGTGGGGAGTAGGCATTTTTGAGGATTGGCAACGAGTGCGAAGTGTAAAGTTTCTAATAGTCGAAGTTGGTGGAGTTTTTAAAGAGTATGAATTGGAAAAAGGTTAGCCGCTTTCTCGGCCCATAACAGAGATGGACGCATTGACGCTCAACTATTGGTTATCCAAATTTGTTCAAGAGGTGGCAAAGTGTTCCAAAGATCCATACCTTCCGAAAACGTTGTACCAGATTGTGTGCGGCATTCGCCGATTCATGGTGGAAAAGAACCCAGCCATCGAGTTCAATCCCTCGGACTCTTCAGACAAAAGGTGCGTGAATTGGCATTATTGGAGAGGGAGGTCGTTTGATATTTTAAAACTTAAGGAAATTGTATCGAACTTTTCTCTTTTCCTCATTAGTGTCGATTATAGCAGTGAGTCCGTGTCACGGAAGGTAGAAAAAGTTTCTCAGAATGTGGATATGGATACTATGCCAGTTTGTTTCGTTGACTTTAAGAAATGTGCTGTAGACTTTAATTTCAATTGGCTTGAGCTTGTCAGTTTTATAATTTGAAATGTCTTTCCTGGCCATTGTTTATTAAAAATTAATGATTTATGTTCAGCTGCGTTTGAGTAACTATGAATATGCAGATTAAGAACAATTTTATCACTAGTGATGAAAACGTGATGAAACACTATTGATTTTCAACTGGTGTTTAATTGAGTTTTGAAGTCATCCACCTGACCCGAATGGGGCGCTCTGGTTGGCTTATAACGTCATGAATTATTAATGAGTTTGAGAAAAAGGGTTAGGCAATGGTTTTGGTCGGAAATTCGAAATTTCTTAATTTTTTCCTTTTGCTCAAAATAGTTAGAGAAAAACAGTTTGGTGATGTTTAGATAGAAAACAACCGATTATGGACCATAATAGACCATAAAGTATCAATTTTAAAAAGTCGAAAAATTTACGTCTTTCTAAAGGGGTTAGGCCATGGTTTTGGCCGAAAATTCCCATTTTTTAATTTTTTTTTTTAAAGGAACATAAAATGGTTTGGTGATATTCTAGATAAAAAGGAACCTTATATAGACCAGAAAAATGACATTTGTACGAAATCGGAAAGTTAATTTTCATTCTTCTAAAGAGGTTAGTCCATGGTTTTGGTCAAATAGTTTTGTGATGCTTTAGATAAAAAGCAACCTATTATAAACCATAAAAATATTAGTTTTAGAAAGTTTAAATGTTTGCAGTTTGCGTAAGGTGTTGGTCCATGGTTTAGGTCGAAATTTCCAAATTTCTTAATGTTTACCTTCTTGTTCAAAGTAAGAAGAGAAAAATCGTTTTGTAATGTTTTAGATACAAAACAACCGATGATAGACAGTAATAGACGATAAAGTGTCAAAATGAAAAAGTTGAAAAATTTTCATTGTTCTAAAGGGGTTAGTCCATGGTTTTTGTCGACAATTCCAATTTTCTTATTTTTTTCTTTTTTCTAAAGGCAGGAAGAGAAAAACAGCTTGGTGATGTTTCGATAGAAAACAACTGTTTATAGACCATAACAGACTATAAAGTGTCAATTTTATAAAGTTAAAAAATTGTATTTTTCTAAAGGGGTTAGTCCATGGTTTTTGTCGACAATTCCAATTTTTTATTGTTTTTGTTCCAAATAAGAAAAACAAAAATAGTTTGGTGATGTTCTAGATGAAAAAAAAAACCCTATATAGACAAGAAAAATGACATTTTAAAGAAATCGAAAATTTGCATTCTTCTAAAGGGGTTAGTCCATGTTTTTGGTGAAAATTCGAAATTTCTTTAATTTGTCTTTTTGCTCTACATAGGAAGAGAAAAATCGTTTTGTGATGATTTATATAAATAGCAACCTTTTAGAGACCGTAAAATATTAGTTTTAAAACTTTAAATATTCCCAGTTTTTAAAGGGGTTGGTCCATGATTTGAAAATAGGAATTTTTTTTCGGATTTAAAAAATCAAACTAAAAATAGTTTGGAGATGTTTTAGATAGAAAGCAACGCTATATGGACCAGAAGAATGACTTCTTTTTGAAAATCGAAAAATTCGATCTCTTCCAAAGGGGTTAGCCCATAGTTTAGTCGAAAATTCGAATTTTTCTATTTTTTGTTATTTTTGTTCAAAATAGAAAAAGAAAAATCTTTTCTGATGTTTTAGATAAAAAGCAACCTTTCATAGATCATGAAGATAATATTAGTTTTAGAAGGTCTAAATATTTGCATTTTTATTAAGGGGTTAGTCAATGGTCTTGGCCAAAAATTCGAAAATTCTCAATTTTTTATTTTTTTTCTCCAAATTAGAATAGAAAAAGACTTAAGAAAAATGCAAAATTTTTAACTTTATTGTCTATTATGGTCTATAAACGGCTCCTTTTTATCTAAACGTCACCAAACTTTTTTTCTCTTCCTATTTTGAGTAAAAAGAAAAAAAAGAAAAAATTAAGCAATTTTGAATTTTCGACAAAAACCATGCACCTTTAAAAAATGCAAAATTTTTCGATTTTTTAGAATTCATACTTTATGGCTAATTACAGCCTACAAATGGTGTTTTCTATCTAAAACATTACCAAAAAATGTCTTTATTCTGGTCAACATAGGGTTTCTTTTTATCCAGAACATCACCAAACTCTTTTTTGTTCTCAACAAAAATAATAAAAAATTGGAATTTTCAACAAAAACAGTGGAAATTTTTCAACTTTCTAAAATTTTTACTATATAGTCTACGCAAATTTCTCAACTTTCTAAAATAGAAACTTAATAGTCTATTATAGTCTATAAACGACTGTTCTTTATCCAAACGTAACCAAAATGTCATTATTCTGGTCTATCTAGGTTTTCTTTTTATCTAGATCATCACCATGACCTTTTTTGTTCTCATTTTCAACAAAAATAATAAAAAAAATTGAAACCCCTTTAGAAATCGAAAAATTTCCATTCTTCTAAAGGGGTTAGTCCATGATTCTGGGTAAAAATTCGAAATTTCTTTTGTTTGCTCTAAATAGAAAGAGAAAATTGGTTTACTACGGTCTACAAACAGTCCATCTAAAACATGACCAAAGTTTTCTTCAATTCCTATTTTAAAAAAAAGAAAAAATAAACAATTTTCGAAGTTTGACCACAACCAAAGACTAACCTCTACAGAAAAATAAAAATATTTCGACCTTCTAAGACTAAAATCTTTTCATGACTTAGATAAATAGCTATATTACATAAAAAAAGATGGTAAAATGGCCATTATTGAACCAAAACCATGGGTTAACACCTTTAAAAAAATCTCAATTTTTTTACTTTTCGGACTTCTTGTTTTTATAGCTTAGAAAGGCGTTTTATCGTTCTGTAATATCATAAAAGACCTTTTCCTGGCCTATATTGCCTAAAAAATAAAAAGTGGAAAAATGGCGACT